AATTTGAGTGTTGTTGGGGATTCAAGGATTGGGAAGATTTGGGAAGGAGGGAGGGGTAATTGGGTCTCCGGTAACCTCACGCACACGACGAAACACAACGCAAGCGTTGTTTCACGTCGGTTTTTATATGAGGCCGTGGTATCACTCCTCTCGAGCCGGAGGAATCGCGCCGAAGCATGGCTGTCCCCACATTTAAGTAGACTGAATTATCTACGATTAAACTGTCAAACACCAAGCGGTCACCGGTGACCGCAACCTATTGTTCTATAATTGTGTCTACAAAACCGGTACTCGAAGAGTTAAGATATAATGTACCCAAAGATGATAGACCGGTAAAGAAAATGAAGGGCATTAAGTTCCAATACGGATTATTAAACTGTCGAACACCGCGAGGACACCGGTGACCGCAACCTATTGTTCTTTAATTGTGTTGATAATAACGGTACTCAAATGTTGACATATAAGAATTCAATATGTTATTATCTCAGCGGTCCATCACACCAGCAGATCGGTCCGTCCAGTGCAGCTGGATAGCATAATAGATGTCTATCTGATCTAGATATAATCTATTGTTATTATAAGAATAGAAACGCAATTTCGCAGCAGTTTTCTTAGAACTTCTTTAAAGTGAGGATATTATTATATGCTTTGTGTATTAAATTTCTCCAAACTAATACAATAAAAATGGCGAAAAGTAAAGGTGCCTTTATCTAACTAGTCGAATAAAGGACACCAGCTGCCAAACATCAAAAATGTGCATTCTTTTGTCTGTGCCTGGGCAACGAACTGGAAACCTAGTGCTAGTAATATGTACAGAGAGGTAAATAAAATTGGTGTATCTGTTTGTAATATTAAATTAATCGCCTTTTTACTACATGCATATGAATATCCATACGATACATACATCACTAACCACTACTAACTAACACTTTTTAAAAATTTCGGTCTGTCTGTATGTCTGTATGTCTATCTGTCGTCTGTTTGTACTAGCTCTCTGGAATGGCTGGACCAATTTTGACGGAACTTTGTACTAAGGAGTGACATAGACTTTTTTTGTGGCATAAGCCGGTAAACGAGCCGACGGATCACCTGATGGTAAGCAATCAGCGTCGCCCGTCTTACCGGCCTTTTGGGGATTAGGAGTTTGAGGATTGTTGAGGATTCAGGAATTGGGGAGATTGGGGAAGGGGAGGGAAATTGGGCCTCCGGTAACCTCACTCACACGACGAAACACAACGCAAGCGTTGCTTCACGTCGGTTTTCTGTGAGGCCGAGGTATCACTCCGGTCGAGCCGGCCCATTCGTGCCAAAGCATGGCTCTCCCACACTACTTTTATTTTGGAAAAATGAAACATAAAAAAGGTTATGTCGCGGGCAAGAGCTAGTAATAAATTAAACCTTTGAAACTGTAACTTATAGGTACCTACATCTATCCTACATGTATAATCTCGGTTCCTAATTTATCGTATCAAATCTATAAACTCGAAGAGATGATTGCACTTACGATTAAATAGACTTCGGTGCCAGAATTCTTGGCAATTTGTGGTGTTTTGCTTCAGTATTTAATAGCTCACGGTCAGCGCGGCAAATGTTCCGTATTAACAATATGGCTGCCACCTTTTTTACGTCAGTAACTACAGCTTTAAGTACTAGTGATATTTGTTGCATCATTTTGCAATTTAACTCGTCGAGTACCGGTTTTGTAGACACAATTATAGAACAATAGGTTGCGGTCACCGGTGACCGCTTGGTGTTTAACAGTTTAAAAACAACATCTACTTAATATTTCTTATTTCTGTTATTCCCCCCATGTGGTATTATATAATTTCTGTATACTTATTTTTTTCATCACTACATAGTATAAAACAAAGTCGCTTTCTCTGTCCCTATGTCCCTTTGTATGCTTAAATCTTTGAAACTACGCAACGGATTTTGATGCGGTTTTTTTTAATAGATATAGTGATTCAAGTGGAAGGTTTATGTGTATAATACATTGTATATTGCACCCGTGCGAAGCCGGGGCGGGTCGCTAGTTCGATGACATTATGTTTTTTAGACTATCGTACCCAATATTTAGTATTCGCTAATTACCGTGTAATAATGGAGAATTTGATCGAAAAGCGCAACTAACAACCGACACAAATCAGAAATTTCCATGCTTATAATATGTAATTGCATTTTTACAATATTACCAATTAAAAAGCCATTTTCTTTCATCTATGTATAATGAACTAACGGGAATATTATTACCAACATGTTTAACAGTTTAACAAGTTTAAGTATCTATCTACACAACGAACAAATATATTTAATAAAAAATTACCCATTCGGCATTAAAACGTATGTACCTATTTACTATAATATCCAACATGGCAGACATTAGAACCGGTTTACAAACGAGCAATCGAGCCGTCCAAAGAGGAAGTGGTTTTAATTAATCGATATTCTTCCGTAACGAGTGACTAACACAAAACTCTATATTAGATACTTCTAATTATAATTGTGTTGACTGCCTCGTTGGCCGAGTGGTCGCAAGTGCGGTTTTAGACCGGGCAAAGTATTACTGAGTTTAAACATTAAATCTCAGTAGTAGCACGGAGTCTGGAAATGTGCCATAGGTATGGCGATAGGCTCATCCCCTATTACATGAGACTCATAACATAAATAGTGAAAAGTGGGTGTTACATTGCACAGTGGCATTAAGTGCCGTAATGTGCATCTCTGCCTACCCCTTTGGGGATAAAAGGCGTGATATTATGTATAATGATCCTCTATAGTTGAGGATAAAGTATATTTGTTTTTGGAGTATAATTGAATGCATCGTTCACTTCGTTGGAGTACTTTTTTCCTGTACCTAATTGAAATTGAATACTATTTTGTGAGTGGTCGCAATAAGCATGATTGCTGTGTCAATTATATCGGGTCTCGGAGTCCTGGGCCAGATAATAGTATCATAGTTTTTGATTTGTCAAATTTTCAGTTAAAACCTTACCTGGAATTGTGTCCCCTGTGCGACAATAAGCTTACCCACTTACTATAGATTTATGATAGTGTAATCCTTCACCACTCCTTAATAATAACCCTTCGTATCTATCTACATAGTTAAATAAAAGTGAATTTCCGTTCGTTAGTCTCACTAAAACTCAAGAACGACTGAACAGATATAACAAAGTTTGGTCATGAAATGTTCGTGAAAAGTCCAGGGAAGGTTTAATCGGTGAGAAATCAGTCGGTAAAAAAAATGAGGTGGTATAAACTTTGCCGGTTCAGCTAGTACATATTTACATAAATATCATCAATACATAGTATAAAAAATACATAGTATAAAACAAAGTCGCTTTCGCTGTATGTCCGTATGTATGCTTAGATCTTTAAAACTACGCAACGGATTTTGATGCGGTTTT